AATACACAGGGTCTGAACCCTGACCAACATATTGAAATAAAGTCCAAGATTGGTCGGTTATGTACGTACTTATCCAAAATGAATTCATAACCATTTTAACACGTAGCCAGGGTAATGAAATTAAACGGTACCCACCGAAAAATACACAGGGTCTGAACCCTGACCAACATATTGAAATAAAGTCCAAGATTGGTCGGTTATGTACGTACTTATCCAGAGTGAATTCATAACCATTTTAACACGTAGCCAGGGTAATGAAATTAAACGGTACCCACCGAAAAATACACAGGGTCAGAACCCTGACCAACATATTGAAATAAAGTCCAAGATTGGTCGGTTATGTACGTACTTATCCAAAATGAATTCATAACCATTTTAACACGTAGCCAGGGTAGTGAAATTAAACGGTACCCACCGAAAAATACACAGGGTCAGAACCCTGACCAACATATTGAAATAAAGTCCAAGATTGGTCGGTTATGTACGTACTTATCCAAAATGAATTCATAACCATTTTAAAAAAAAAACGATTTCATACATAATTTGAACAGTTCACCTCAAAATCGAATAAGTCTATTTCTTTTCTAAGCCATATGTATAAATGTACTACACAATTTAAATGTTTATATGGCCACCAGTGTCGATTACCAAAGACATAACACTTTTGATTCAAAATTAATGCTTGTTATATCCTCCAAACTATGAATTATTGCTTATATGCAATTGGCAGATCAAGGATTCAAGAACAAGATGGCTGATAGTGAGTAAATTAATATCCCAATATAGCTGATATATAAATGTGTCATCTCCAGTGTAAATATAATTATAAATGATTGGTCGACCCAACCTTGCACCCTATCGGTTTAACAAGTAGAATAACTATCATCACCTGCATCACGAACGTTGTTCTCGTATGATGTAGGTCATTATTCAGTGATAGATTGTAACTCGTGTCAGTCTTTACCTACGACCAGTCTGCACGTGCGTGTTGCTTTAGTACTGATGTCACGAATACAGCTAATCCGTGATAACACCGAATTCTGCTCCGACTAAGTAGTTACATATGGATTTACAGGGCCTTCCTTGAGTATACTCGGAATGGCTAAATCCCAGGCTTTAGCGAGTGTCTAACGTTTAATATTTCATACTGTGATGTTCCCTGGGCAATTCTTGTATTTCTGTTTTAATACATTACAAACTAATGTTCATGAAGGGCGTGTAGTTTTCACGTAAATGTGTTTAGAACGTATAACCAGAATCCTTCAGTGGTGCGATATCTATGGCGCTTTATTGGGTGACGTTTGCGTTTTCATTCATACGTCATATTATATCTGATTTGATGTTATATTATATTATAATGAACATCTAATGTGATTATTCATAAATATTAAACTTTCACACCAATAATCAATATACCATGATTCGAAATCAAAATCGTTAATAATAATAATAAATAGTGGTGTAATTTACGTATTTGGTATACATTCAACAATAGCACAAATGATTTATTTAATCGTAATAATACAAATACAAACGGCACCACACAGGCGCTTTGACACTATAGTTGTGGTGTCACGTACGTCCTTCACCGTGGGCTGTTAAATCCCGGACTGGTTATCAAACTATTACTGTTCAACTAGTATGTTAACTTTGCATGCTCACCAATGGCGCTTAAACCAAAACACGCTTAAGAGGAAAACCCCACCCGTGACAATAATACTATACTGTACTATGTGCAAAACACAAATTGAATAAAAAATATCGATTCCATGTTATTAGTTTGTCATGGTGACCTTTTATGACCCTCACCAAAACACCCAAATCATCAAGTGACACACGTTTAACGGCAGTCTAGTCCCTGACCCGTACTTTTTCAAGTTTTTATAGAGTAGTTCATAGTACTCGAATATGTGTTTCGGTGACCCCCTCCCCCGACATCAAACTAACATTTGCTATTAAATTAAAGAATAATATAAATATATATAATTTATTTCTACTTTATTATCTCTGTTCGCCGAAAAGATGAATCAGTGGAAATACATTCCTATGTTTTACATTCAACTCTATCTGTAGATTGGTGTTTTTAACATTAGTAGTTGTTTTTTTAAGTTTACCTTTACCAACGAATGTCTGAGTACGCTTCAAAGAGACCGTACTTTTCTCACGTGTACTGTAATTACTACTAAAGTAGTACTTTAGACAGGTGTACCAGTCAACATTACCCCCAAACAACAAACAAGAATATGCTAATAAAATATATAGTATGACATGAGCATTCATCAACCAACTAGATTTTTAACATTCTTTGCTGTTTACTTACGTTTACCCAACTAAGTCCCTTTGTCAAGCTGTCGTCTGTTCAATTTAAATGTGATTTGTTTGAGATATTAGAAATTTGCTAATACAAAAAATAGATGCATCATTTTCAACATTAAACCAATCACGTCTGAAGATATATTCATAATATGAATATATGTACCAAGTTTCAATGAAATTTCAACTCCAAACTTGACAGGTGCATTGCATTGTATTGTCTCAATGCACCTATTTACCAAATTTGATTAGAATGTGATTATTAATTCTCAGAAATCAGTGGAAAAAACGAAAATTCGTGAACAAATGCTGCTTTTTGTCAACTTAAAATTCACCGGCCTTAAAAAATTACGATATATTGGCATAGACACGGAGTAGGCATTGTGGTACAGTCATTTGGTATGTATCACTCTTCTGAATGAACTTTGGTGAAGTTCTACAAACTTTGTAAATTAGCTCAGGTACACGGTGATACGACCTCAATTTCCTTTGCGGTTATGTGTATTGGCACCACTCCCCATCTTGATAAATATTATGTATTGCCTGTAATGAGGTGGAATGCGAGACATTGAGGTTACCCTGCCTGTCTACCGTAGTCATGCTCTGGATAACTCAAGACAATTTTCACAAAACATTATAAATTTGTGTATATTTAAAATTATTGTACAATCACGGTTTAATCCAACGTGTTGGTACTAATAGTTTTGGAGATATTGCTGAAAATGTGTCTACAAAAATGTTAAGTCATTTAATAGGCAGCACTTTTAAACTTATCAATTTATATTGAAGTCAATTTAGCAGAAAACTTAGCAGAAATGTTGGTTTACATTAGATAATATAATGATGTTAGTGTTCATGATTATTTTGACATGGAATACAAATAATGGTAAAATGTTAACAGCACTTTTAATTCACGGGTACAAACATGACTCGCTTCACAAATCTGAATTTGATACACAAGCAAGGGATCATTATTGGGGATCGACTTTTTGATATCATAGGGGGCATGGCTGGAAGGTTTGTAAAAAACAGCAATAATGCTAGAAGCATTCCTAATGTTATGCAGATTCGTATGAACAAAATAATATATTATTAAACACAATTGTATAGGCAAAGTGACAAAACACAAGGCTAGTGTCACTTAAAATGCGATGTGATATCATAAATGTGTGTTGTCGCAACTTCATTGAAATCGGTCGAATAGAAAATTGTGATGCAAAACGCACACTGATGATACATAAAATTATCATTGAGAGGACATCGGAGAGAGGCTTATAGCCTTTCAAGATGGCGATGCATCCAACATTTCGCCCAGGGTCACAGGGTTAGTTGACATCTTGCATCGAAACAAGCAAATAACTTGCATCTTTTTCCGGTAATATGTTATACACATCTGTAGCTTTTAATTAAAACATGGCTGCAATCAAACACTGTTGAAATTGAACAATAATATGAAGCCTCGTGCCAAAATTAGTATGCTAAATTTTAACCACGATGATTGATTCGTTCTGTCTACATTCACATATAGCACAGTCAACAACCAAATATAGAGCATGTGGTTATGTACTTGTTGGTGATACCAATAAAGTAACTTTTGCCATGTGACCAAGCATATTGTTATCATAATCATATAGTAAAAACAAAGTAACCTCAGACGTTCTACAAGAGGGCTCTCTACTGAGTGCACACTGCAATCAATATTCAGAAAAGGCACTTATGGTCTAACACCACAGTCAGTATTCTATTGATAATGCTGATTTGCATGTGGGATTGAGTAACCCACTTTATCTGTACAGGGTTCAGTGTATCCAACTGGACTATATAAACGCGATGAACTATCACTACTTTGCAGTCTGCTCGCAACACGTAGTCACTTGCAACATCCCAGCGTAAAGCCTGATTCAACTCGTACAACCATGCCAGAAACAACCGAGTTAACCCCTCCATTTGAAAAGACTTACTACTACGATGGAAGGAAGGATAGACTAATGGTAACCGCTATGCACAACGATAGTATACACGCACTGAAAGACTTCGAAGTTAGGGACGACGACGTATACATTGTAACTTACCCAAAAGCAGGTAAGCATATGTGAGCATATGTGAGCATGTGTAATGAGTGGAGCCAAATGTAAGCCACGACTTTTAATTTGCGAACCTCTCATAATTTAAGCAATTTTGCAATAATCACGGTGCTTAAAAAAGATTAGAAATAATAGGCACATATAATGATACTGAAGTTAATTTGAATAAATACGTATATTGCATTAGGTTTTGGGTTTAGATTTATATAAAGTTGAATTTGAATTACATTGTAACAATACAGTTTAATTTAATTAAATCGATTTGAATTCCATTTCCGGAAAGATTGTATTTTAATTTAGCTAAAAGTATCGCATTCCTATATAAGTTTGCAGATTGCAGAGATTGCAGAGTTTATATGACTATATCCTGGGACAATATGTCTCTAACTGTATACAAAAGAGTGTTGGAGTGTATAAACGGACCCTGGATGGCACACCCGAAGCAATGTACCGGGTGAAGCACACAAAGTTCAATATTCTGTAAATCCACAGAGTCAAACATTCCAGTGCCTTGGCGGCAGCGTTTCACAAGGTATAAACGCGAAAACGTTTGTACCGCAATTTCTGAAAATGTTACTCTTACTCTAAACGGCAAATTTAGGGAATTTACCAAGTGTGGAATTAATGAAAAATGATTTGCTTATTACATCGTTCTCTTAATATTACGTAACAATCGGCAAATGAGTACTGCGCAGAGTGAAAAGTGAATGAAAAAAGTACGGGTCAGTCCGTCGACGTCAGCGAGTAAAGCATGCGACCATTAAGGTCATCAGAGGGGCACAATACCTTACCAGTCTGTTAGGAGGGTGACTGAGACGATGTATTTCTATGTTAAAGTTGTGCAATTTTACGAGTGACTCACTTCTTACGTGGCTACAAGTAACAAGATTCTTTGTTATTATCGCGAGTTCTCGTCTCATTATCATATCTCATGTTATTATCCTGAGATACTCTAGCCATTAATTTAGTGCAGGGTTAACTATTGAGGAAATTGATAGAAAATTATTTGCTGTGACATATTTCTCTTTATTATGCGTCAGATATCAGGTGACAATCGGCAAATCATGATTTACCTAATCTGTATGTATCTTGCATAACAATCTAGTTGCGTGAGGGCGGTGATAGGTGAATGTAAAAAGTACGGGTCAACGATTAAATCATGCGGTTTTTAGGTTAAAGACATAACAATTGATAAGTTGGACACAATAAATATAATTCAGTCTAGTACGTGATCGGTCTTTGGGGTGGGGGTGGCGGTGGGGGTGGCGGTGGAGTGTGACAGAAACACAGGAAGGGACCGGGCGGGGTCCACCGCTTTTGATCAGAGTTTCCACGTAGAAAGTAGGGTGTTTTGTATGGCGTCAGCTAATCCTCTAACAAATCAACACGTACTTCTATATATAACGGTTATATTGTAGGTACAACCTTCATTCTTGAGATCGTGGATGCTATTATGCACAGGGGAAACATCGACGAAATCAAAGGGAAAAGGATGGAGGATAAACTTAATCTGATCGAATTGGGCCCGGCACCAGGCATCGAAATTGCTACGTATAAAAAGGTGTCCACGTGGAAGTCGCCTCGACAAATCCAGACTCATCTGCCAGTTGATTTGATGCCACCGCAGGTGTTCACTAAAAAACCTAGGGTATCTAAACTTGTTTTTTTTTTTAATTCTCATGACACGTATCATTGCTTGTGATCAAACAAGTGCTCAAGTAACGAAATCTTCGCATCTCTGTTATAACATTTTTATAGGGAAGCCCCAATATGTGAAGTTATTTGTATCACATCTTAAATATATACGTTATACACTGTTTTAATTCAGATTATCCTTGTAACACGAAACCCCAGAGATTGTTGCATATCTCTGCATGCATGGCATGCGACTGTAAAGTTCTTGGAGCCGTGTGATTGGGACTATTTAGTTGATCGTTTTGTAGAAGGCCAGGGTAAGCATTATATTACAACTGTTATAACGCGACCAAAGTATATTTTTTTTTACCTAAACAGGACATAGCATAGATTCATTTTCATTTGAAATTTGAAGCGTCGTTTTATCTCTAGTGTAATGGTAAATTAAATTGCACGCCATTATTCGGTCAAAAATAACATTTCGGGATTAACCCGGATTTGAATTTATTGAAATTGATAATCACAGAAAGGTGACGAAAGATGTCATTATTCCTATTAAATACCATGCACAATACACAAATATGTAACATACTTAAAATAGTTAGATCGACAAAGTCGGATCTGCATTTGTGTTAGTTATTTGAGTTTTAGTCCAAATTACCTGACTTGACAGCAAACATTATAAAATTTATCGTCTATGTGATAGGTGTCACATATTTCATTTTCGAACTACTTCTAACTCAAATCCAAATGCATTGTCATCAGAGTAAACTATTTTGCTCTCCTAATTATTTTGTTTGAAGGCGTGTAGCTGTTTTAGTGCAAAATAAAACCTTTACAATGGAAATGTTAGCACAAAAACAAAACCAACATCAACTAGGCGGTTGGCCAAAATTACCTAACAAAGCATGCCGCTATTTCATTGACGTGTTTTGTTGTTACCACTTAGTTATCTGGGGATGTTGGTTCGAACACTTGGCAGACTGGATTAATAAGATGGGCGGTAAGGACAACTTCCTGCATTTGAAGTACGAAGATATCAAAGAGGTATGGATAATAAAAAGAAGTGCCCCAAGCGACTGATTAGATACGTGTCGTCAAATAACGTAGACAGGCGTAAGCACAGTGACCAAATAGACAGCTGTTTTGACTGTTTTGTCGTTTGTCACTTACAAGTTTAAGCGCATCTTTCCTGCTCTTGTCAAGATGTTTTGTTTGTTATTTGAATATGCCTTAATCTGTGGACGTATCAACCTTTGATTTGTCATTCTCCATTTTTCGAAACTGACGAGAGCCTTGCTTTTCATTTAACTGTAGGATCGCCAAGGTGCTTCGGAGACCGTCGCTAATTTCCTTGGTTACGACTTAAACCCCGATGAGATGAAGAGAGTCGTAGACCATACTGATTTCAATAACATGAAAGAATATATGAAAACAGTAACACAACGTGACGTGTTCCTACGTGAAAATAGACATTGGCAACGCAAAGGTAATGAAATAATACATCAGTACATCAGACATTAAATTATATTTGTTGGACAGTAACACTGCAGCTCGATTACACACGTGGTTTGTGTAAGCGTGTTTTCGGTCAGTGAATATTGACATACAGATAATGTTAACGCAGTTAACGGTTTGACGTAATGTGTTCAAGTGTATATATAATATGTATGATCAACGGCATATCGAGTAAGAGCGGATTGCCGTCACTGAATTCATATTGGAATGCTGATATATACATCAGTGCTCAGTCAGTTTCGAGCAGTCAGAATGCTCGAATCTTAAGCCATCCGACTACTTGATAGCAAAGCTGAAATATGACTCAATACATGTTGAAACAGTGCCTCACAATAATGTCAGAATATTCACAACTTGTATACGTAAAAAATGATACTGGTATTCGCCGGTTGTTTTATCAAGAACCTTATAATAGTGAAACTCAAATTTGCGCTGTATTGTATTATATTTAGGTACGAGTCATTTCCAAACTGCAGCGCAGCGCAGCGCATTTATTGTATAATGTAATACTTATAATATAATACATCTTTTCACTGAAGGAAACCTACTTCACTATTTCATGTTCACTTTGAGCTATTTCACTGAACCAATCGCACTTTAGATATTGTTATTAATCAATTTTCCAAATGTTCTGCGTTACAGGAATTGTGGGCGACTGGAAGTCAAATTTCACAGTGGCCCAAGATGAAAAGTTCAAGGAATGGGAGCAGCGTAAATGCAAAGAGTATGGAATCGACTTCATGCAATACTACACCAAGACACCTAAAAAATAAGAGTCTCAACATTCTTATTAAGAAAATAATTACCTGTAGTAGTAGTAAGGTTATTCATCTAATATTTAGGTGAAAATTTTTACCAGAAACTACAAAGAACATTCATGTCCCGAATATTTTTTTGATAATTTGTAGAAAATGTAAAAAAAAAATGATGGTACTGGATTTATACTATGTACACACGCACGTTTTATATGTAACTAAATATGGTATGTAGTAATATAAACAATAAATATTATTGAAGGGCTCGCAAAAATGTTTCTTTGCAATGCTTCCACCCCAATATATACAACTTTCATACCAAGTTTGAAAGCAATTTGCTCAGGAATCCCAGAAAAATGGTTGATAAAACGTTCAAAATACGATTTTCCTAATATTTCTTTGGACTAAAATGGCCGCTATTCAGTTATGATAATCAAATAATCAATGTGTGTGAACTAAAAATATCAACTTAGAAACAAATCGGCCAAAACTTATTACAGAAATGAATACAGCTACTAGTATACTGAAAAACAAAATGGTCGCCAACTGGCCATTTTGAATCGAAACACTAAACAAAATGATGGGCATCAATAAGGCAATATGTCCAACTTTCATAGCCAGGTTTGATATAAATTTTTCACCATTTCTCAGAACTAAAATTACCTTCATTCGGTCAAAAAATGGGATCTTGAAAATCACTTGACATGGTCACTAATACAAGTTGTCATTATACCAACCAGATAGTCAAGATATGAAACGACCCCAAACGTACGTACGCACGCACGCACGCACGCACGCACGCACGCACGCACGCACGCACGCACGCACGCACGCACGCACGCACGCACGCACGCACGCACGCACGCACGTACGTACGCATGCATGCATGGATGGAACGGAATCAATAGTACTTATTTTGGGGCTAATGAAAGTGTAATATTATAATCACTTTGCAACTAGCCAAATTACAATAAGGTTACACTATATTGTCCCAAAAAGCACACATCTGTGAGGTAGTTTGAATGCAGTATCAGTTGACGAGTGAGCCCCTGCCACGGGAATGCTTTTTTGACAGCCTTGATCGTGCACATGAACTAATTAGTGTACTTATAAATAATATGCATACCTTGAAACTGGCCTAATTACAATCAAATTTAACCAGAATATTAAAGTCATCAATTATTGAACCACCTTTACGGTAATTTGAATGGAGATTCATCTGGTAGTTCAACTCGATAAATATCTCACTACAGATTACCCAGTCGTGACATCACTGATGTGGCCTTCACGTGGTTCGATTTGAACTGAAGTCGTTGGTCTAAATTAATCCATTCTTTTGATACCATTGACCAAGCCAAATTGTTTCTAGATCACTCTGCAGAGTTAAATCTGCTCGCAACATTGGGTTTACGATTGACATTACCCACATGTTCAATAAAACTAGCTTGCCATTCAGTTTACTACCATCTTCGCCGAATTAGATACATTAAAAAAACTTCATCAAAGCATCTTGTTCTTCATAGATTTTGTATCGGCGAAAATAGATTCTGACAATTCATGACTATACGGACTTCTAGAAAACAGCATTTCACAGCGTGGTCAAAATATAGATGCAAGAATAGTAACTTGTTCCGGAAAGTCTGCAAATATAACTACAGTCCTACAGTATCTTCTTTGCTTGACAGTTCGTCATAGGATTCACTAGTAAATGGGTATGCATTGCATAAAGCAAGAGCCATTACAACAAGGGCTACGAAATTGGTTTCCTAATTCTTATAAGATATGATTTGTATATTATGTAAAATAAAGTATGACCTGGCAAAACAGCTGAGACGCGTATTCGTTTATTACTGGAAATTATTTGAAACAATACTGCACAGTACAACTCGGTTTAGTAATTTGTTAGCATTATATCGCCACCAAGAATTATAATACTGTTTACATCGACTATTTACCCAGGGTCTTGAATATGGAAAATTGCCAAAAAAAATAGATATTTTGTTTTTTTAAACGTTGTATATTTCTTGTAATTCTAAGTTCGGTTAACTGATAATTAAAATTCGAGTTACTAAATGTGGACGTTCAACAAAAACATATGTTGCCCGTAACTCGAGGTTCTATTAATTTTTAATTGAACCACAGTCCCTCTATAGACTGTGATTGAACATCGAGTTACAATTTGGGCGTGGTTTTGGAAAAGTGGGCGTGGTTCCTAAAATATAGGCGTGGTCATTTGTGTAACTCGATGTTTTCATAACTCGATGTTCGTAACTCGATGTCCGTAACTCGAACAATTCAGCATCTCCCTGACGATCTATTCGTGTCAATACATGGACGTCTATGGGCTGGAACGTCTAAGTCCCGGTACAGGACCTTATACTTGCTTAAAATAATAGAAATTATAGAATTGAAACAGTTTGGCGATGCGATGCAAGCATTTAATTTAATTATTTTGCTCCGAAACTTCCGGCGAATCATCCCGCACCATACTAATACTATAGGGAGACAAGTAACCTGTAGAATACTGTGTGGGTAATATTTTTTATATTGATTTTTGCTGCATTTGCAGCAAATAGTTACCAAACAATGAGAAATCTATAGGATTGAATATACCCCACAGCTGGCTTCACATGCATTGTTCATAGTTCATATGGTGCTTACACCAGGATTTAATTACAGCACCTAGGCGGTATGTGGTTACAGCTTAATGTTCGAGTAATCGCAAGAAATTGACATGACAATAGAAATTCATTAAAGACTGCCACTCCCATGCAATTAACAGCGAGTGAAATTCCTGGGATTGAAACATATATTTTGAAGTCACTGATGTAGGCAACGAATAACTGCAAGTTGACATAAAGACGAGGTAGTTTATTTAATCAGTGGTCAACTAGACGCTGAATTATAATTAATTTGTTTATTTCAATTTC